AAAATTAAAAATGGGCATAATAACAGCACCAACCTCACCTTCCTTTCTAGTCTCCTTTCTGCCCTCTTTCCTTTTCTTCCTTCCTGTTCCCCTCCTACCACCATGTTTACTGACACAGCATACAGTTGTGAATAAGCAAAGCCTCATGGTCGTTCTGAGGACCAAAGCAGGCAGTGTTCGAGGTCACTTAGCACACTGTCTCATACAGAGGTGCCTTGGTTCACAAACTCAATTCTCTCCACCGATCTGGTCGAAATGGAATCTGAGGAGAACCAAGTCAAACTTCCCCATAAGGTCAGCACTGAACCTAACCATTGAATTCGACTCGATTCTCGTCCAATTTGGTTTGTGACCAGAATTGTGGAAAGAGTTAAGTTTGTGAACCCGAGGTACCTCTGTATAATGTGGACTTTATAAATATTAGCTAAGACTCTCATCTCTGTACCATTTGTGTGGGTCCTATTGTTATTGCTAATTTATGCAGGAGGAAGCCGCAAGAGGATTTACCCATGGCCATGCAGCCAGGAAGTAACAGAGCTGGGACTCAGCCCTGAGCCCTGCCAATGCTGGTTCTCGTATTGAACCTGGGGTGTGTGGCTCCTCTGAGCTCCCTCCAATTTTTCTCAGAGACTGGGCACCATTTCGGTCACTTCTGCAGACTTTCTTAAGAAAGCAGAGCCTCAGCCTTCTCCTGCCCCTGGAGTACCACTGTTCTGTAGGTTTGGTCCTGGTGGGGACTGACTGGGAAGACTAGCCGTCATCAAGAGGTCACCAATGATTCAGGGGCCCCGAGAAAGCGCCAGGAGCAGCTTCCTGGGGCCAGGCCTGCCAGGGAACAGAGACACTGTCACAAATGCCCATCACGTGGAGTGAGACTACTGAGCTCTGCCCTTCCCCAAGGGTCTGTGCGGTGTGAGGGGAGAGCACCTGACAGTTTCTCTTCAGAGAGATTGTGGGGGCCCCTGTTGGATGTGAAGGATCAGTAGGTTGCGTCTTAAAGCCGAGTCACATAGCAAGCTCTCTGCTGCTGCTTAAGCCATGAGCTTATTTGGCTGTGACTCTGGGAGCAGAGAGAGGGTGCCTGGAACTCACACCCATGAGCAGGGGGAGGCAGGGGAGGCAGCCTGTAGCTCCCACACCCTCCCTGTCCCAAGGCCTTGTTGCCCTCTCGGTGCAGTCTGAGTCTCTGCTGCTGTGGCTCCAGCTCCGTGGGGTTAAGAGTGAGGGAAGTGGGGGCTGAGGACAGGCCGCCCTCTCCCGCCCAGACACTTGAGCACCTTGGGCAGAAAAGCCCTGGGATTCGCTCAGGGCGGTGCTTCCCACCATCAGAGGGCCTTGGGCTGTGGCTCCAGGTTTCTGGACCTGTTTCCTTGTCTGTGAGATGGTCACACATATTTCTGCACAGCTCTGTGTATGAACAGAAGCAGACCATGGAGCTTGATTCTCACAATTACTCTGCAAGGTGGGAACAGTTCCACCATGTTAGATCCTAGAAAGCTGGGCTCAGAGAGGGAGGAGCCATCAGATGCCTGGGGTACACATCAGAGTCACTTCCTCACTGCCCCCAAGCTGAGGAGGGCAGGGTGAGCATCTAGCTCACTCCAAACCCAGCCCCATACAGAGCCTGACGTGGATTAATTAAACTAAACATTTTTAAAAGAATTGTTAGCTCTCAATTCTGTGCTTTTTTTTTCCTTTGCCAAGATGCAATACAGCATTAACCACAGCCATTTAATGAACATTTTCTTTGGGCCAGGCCTTTATCGGGTGTTTTATAGTAACTGTCTTCAACCTCACAATCTTACAAAACAGACGTAACAATAGCCCCAGGTTTACTGATGAAGAAACAAAGACGGGGAAGCTAAGTAGCTAGTGCAAGTTTATGTAGCTGAGCCCGGATCTGTCCCACTTCAAAGCTAGAGCCGTCGACAGGAAATGGCTGCATGGAGCGGGCAGGTGTGACATCCCTGGGTCTCGGCTTCTTTCTCTAGGACATGGGACAACAGTGACCATCTCCTGAGCTTTCCTGAAGGAGAAATGGGCTGACACGTACATGACATTGAGCTGTGCAGTAATAGCCGCTTATCATCTTTATCATCTTATCTTTACATCACTCTCCCTGCCCCCTGTGGCTGCTGTGAGGTGGGCAGGGCCTCTACGACCCATCAGCCTGGTGACCAGGCACCCCTAGCCCTTCAGGAATGTGCTGCTTGGGCTGAGTGTGTCCAGGCGTCCGGGGGTGAGGTGGGGGATGGAGCCAGGGTGCCCCTTGCCAAGCTGAGAGCATCCTTGAGCCTCTGGAGATGAGCGGCGTCTCAGATGCCAGCCTCGATGTGCACCTGGGCCTGAGTAACCCAGAGAAAGCTGGGCACCAGCAGGGACCTCCGTGTCCCCCTGGGTTGGCAAAGTTTGGGCTATGTCGGAGAAAGTTGTGAGTCGCATGGGAGAAGAAAGTTGTGGTTGTTTGAACTTTCTTCATTCTGCGCTCATTGCTCGCTGTCCCCAAGGCCTGCTAGGTGATTTGTCTCCAATTAGGCCATAATGAGCTGGACCTTGGTGGCCTTGGAGGCTCCTGGGGGCACCTAGGCTCAGCAGGACACCTGGGGCCCAATTACAGCTGCTGGGCCTGACGCCAAGTCCAGCTGAGGCCCGAGCCCCAAGGAGATCAGCTCACCCGGCCAAACTTTTAATAAGTGAAATGGCTACCTCTCTCTCTTGCCTGCTGATTGCCCAGGCTTGCCACCTGGGCCCTGCCTGCTCCCCACTTAAAGAGACAGAGAAATTTCTAGAGTATGACTCGCTGCATTTGAAATGACTGAGCAGTCGGTCAGGAGGTCGGGACACTGGAACAAGCCTAGGCCTCTCAGGTTGGCATGAGGCCCCGAGAAGATAACACACACTGTAAAATGTAAACTGGCGAGGACCTTGACTGTGACTTCCTATCCCAGCTGAACCAGAACCAGCTCTGACCTGGGTGCTCCAGAGGCAGCAGTGTGGCCTCCCTGCTCTGCTGGCCACTGGCCTGACCTTGCCTCCAGCCTTCCCCTCCCTGCTCTCCTGCTCGTTCCCAGCAGCCCCGCGTGGGTTGGTAGGCACCCATCTGTCCATTCATTTGCCATGGATAAGTCTGCAGACTCCAAAGCCAAACCTCCTAGGTGTGTATCCTGTGTCCTGCACTGGGTACATGTCCATGCTTCTGTCTCTTCAAATGGGAAAACACTAGCACTTACGGTATATGGTGGTTGCATTAAATGAGTTGAGCCCATGTAAAATGTTTGGAACTGGGCCCAGGGCACAGTAGCCTCCTCATAATTAATATTACTATCTTTCCATTGTGGTGATTCAGGTATTGAGTCACCAAACATCTGGGCTCCTTCTGTGTGCTGAGCATGCAGATAGGCCCCAGAAATACAGCAATGAGTAAGACTAACTTTGGAGCTCATTTTGCGGACACACACACACAGCCATCATTTCAAGACCAAAGGTAAAGCAGGCCGAGGTGGGGATACACCCAGGACACAGCAGAAAGGCCCTGACACCTGCCTGAGGGCTGGGGAGGCACAGACAGGGATGGCATCCCAGAGGAGCTGGAAGGAGGGCAGGCACAGGGGCAAGGTTTACTGAGTGCTTAAGATGGGCTGGGCTCTGTGCTAAGTGCTTTCTTCTGAGGAGTCCACCCTCACACGCATGAAAGGTAGATTTGTTTTACTGAGAAATGACAGTCACTTATCTAAGGTCACCCAACGAGTAAATAGTGAGTTCCAGGATCCAATCCAAGGCTAACCCTAAATCTTGTCTCCTTTTTTCTCCCATGAGAAAAAGTGGCGATGGTTATGGTAGCTGGGGGAGGATACCCTACAAAAGGCACTCCCACAGGAAAATCTGGCTTGGCTGTTGGGGGCCCAAACCTGGGGCTTTTCTTGCACCAGTGGCAGAAGGCACTACAGTGATTACCAGTGCAGGTCCTAACGTGGTTGGCTGGGTTTCAGCCCACTCCCTACCAGTGTGACCTCGACCAAGTCACTTCATCTCTCTGTACCTCAGTTTCCTCTGTAAAACAGGCTAATTTGAACAGCAAACACTTGCAATTATAAGGGCTTCCCCTGCCCTGTGTATTTCACATCTATTCCTCATTTAATCCTCAGATCTTAAATCTTTTTTTTCTCTTAGGTGGGACAATAACTGGGTAGGTTTTAGGAACAAATTAGTTAATAAACACAAAGCACTTATAAAATTGATACATAAAGTGTACAGTAAATGTTAATTACTGTTAACATTCAGCACCACAGAGTACAGCCAAGGGCAGCACTCCTAAAAATCATGACCATTTGAGAGGCAAGTGTGTCCTGAAGTGTATTTCATGAAACAGAATACAAAAGGATGCTAATATCTTAAAAAGGGGCTCTGTTTAAACAAGCTTGGAAAGGCTGAATTAAGGCAAGTTAAGCAGTTTTTTGTCTGACAGACTCCAACTTGCTAAAGTGAATTGTCCACGGCTGGGGATGTAGCTCAGTGGTGCGGCACCTGCCTGGCAAGTGCAAGGTCCTGAGTTCAATCCCCAGGACTGAAAAAAAAAAAAAAATTGTACACTCCTCAAAAGCGCGGTAGACTTAGTGTGCAGCACTCCCCAAATCACTGAGCCTGGAAGCCCATGACAGCTGTTGTCTCTGCAAGACAGGAAAGCAGGAGAAAGAGCATTGGCTTTACTTCAGCCTGTGAGCTGTAGGCCTTCGTGAAGTCATACGATCCTGAGCCTCGGTTTTCCTCTCTATGAAATGGGATAAATGGTACACAAGCTAGAGCCCTCAGGGCGTCGTGAGGACATAGGGTAAAATACACAGCAGAATTACTGGCAAATGACAATAAACATCAGCTCTCTAGCGATGCAAATCCCCTGGGAGGATGGGTGCAGCATTCCCATCCGGACAATCAGAGCTCTCACAGAGCAGGAGGTGGCCTCTAGAACTCTCCAATTTTAGGAGTGGGGGTAGGCGCCATACACCGAGCGTTGCGGTGAAAAGGGGCCCGGCTCCTCGTCTGGCCCACAATGCACTGCGAGGGGCCGGGTCGGGGCGACCTCGCCGCGGGGCAGTGTGGGAAGGCGCCCGCGTAGGGCTCGCGTGGTGGGAGTAAGTTCCCCCTGCTCTGCGGCTGGAGGAGCCGGCG